TTGCTGAAAATGACTACCAAACATACACGAAAACTTTTATTCAAAAGCTTTTGGACACATACCTAAATATTATTAGTCGTTTTGCGTAGTAAATTATTTTTTTGATTTATTGTCAAAGAAATACGCAGTCAACATCGCAAGTTGCAAGAAGATTCTTCGGAGAAGTATAAGAGGAAATGGTTTTTGATAAGTAGTGAGAGCATAACATAAAATGAAGGAGATTGGTGTGGAAATTAGATATTTTATAGCTCAACTTGCATATTCTTGTAGTGCAACACTGCGTGTGGATTTTGTCGTATCGAAATAAAATCTGTTACATGTGCGATTCATGTGGCACTAGAAAATATGTCGAATTAATTTTAAGTAACCAAGAATATGCTATAGAAGATTGAATAGTTGTTCCTACCTAATAAAGCAAAAAAATTAAATAAAATAATATTTACTAATAAGTAGATGTCTTTTGTATTAATGGAAGCAAAAGGGTATTCCTCGACAAACGATTTTTCGCTCGACGTGTAATCGAATTGATGACAGAGAAAGTACACTCGAAAGAAAGGAAAAAATATATGCTTGAACTCTTTTGAGCATCAAAAAAGTCCGTCCCTTGAGAAATAACCCGACACGCTCATACACCACAATAAATAGTGTTCTTGACATGGATTTTAGAACAATAGCGATGAAGTTATTCTTCTTTTAGGACATTCATGAAGATAACAAATGAAAGTTGTCCTCATTGCGGAACATTATTTGTTTATGTCTTGTTTGGTTAGTTGTAATTTCTTTTCTTTTTTCTTAATTTTAGATTGCTTCGACTTCAACTGTAATGCAATCAAGTCCACGTTTATACTCAAACGGTAAAGTCAGTTTTTGTAGGAGCAAAGTTCATTTAGTAGAGCTTTGATGACAAACAAATATGGAGGGTCGGATCTTTGGTATTGTTGATTTGACTAATGAACCACGCGATAAAAATACTTCATTTAAATTTTTAGCTTACCATCATGTGTTGCCATGAGTGTGCTTTCTTGACATCAGTAAAAGTAATTAAATTTAGTCAAATGGTTAATAAGCACAACTCATCATTGTCCCATGGGCTAAGTTATCTTCTAATTCATCTATTCATCATAATTACACATTATCAAAGTTTCAATGAAATTATTTTTCTGTTCCCTCAAGTCATAATTGAGGGTCAAAACGGTCTTTCGATCGAGTTATGGATGATGAAATTGGTGAAGAAATGTTCAGAAAGTTATTGATACTCTACCACTCAAGTTTATTTTAATCATTTACAGTCCACTTTTACTTGCCAAGTAAAAAAAAATAGGTTTTCTTCAAACAACTGGAGTCGAACACGCATAGTTTTAAACCCACAATCAACAAAACAATGGAAAAAAGGAAAAAAGAGAAGACGATGGCTAAACGATTCATTAAAATCTGATGTAGTCACGTTTGAGTGGTTAATGTGTCCACGTTCAAGGACCCCACTTCATATGATCAAAATTTATGGCACATGGGTGCACAAAACTAAAAAAGATTTTGGGCCCGTTTGATTCTCATTATTGTAGAATTAGAATGAAAAATATAGTCGTTATTGAGCTCCACACGAGATATAAGTTCAAAATTGATGATTTGATGTGATAAATAACGATCATATTTTTCATTTTTATGGATGAAAAATGAGAAAAAACCGGAGACTTTGTTAAAGAAAAATGGCAATTTCCAATGCTCAGAATGGTTCCTGTCGTCCTGTTTTTAATACTAACGTGTGCAATCAATTAAGACCACTATTTCTTGCACATTAATTTGATAGTGAAACCAATTTGGATTTATGGTCCCGTTGATATGGCCTTTATTTTTTATTCCGGTAGAAAAGTTTCAAGAATGAATTGTCTTAATTTTTTCAAAAAATAATTTTTAAAAGAATCCTTATTTCGAAAGTACTTTAAGAGAGAGTAGTATATATTTGATCAATTTTCTCTCAAAAATCTTAATTAAAAGAAGCATTTTCATAAAATTGTCAAATCAATTCAAAAGCTCCTTTACTTCTCAAAGTCGTGTCGAACGCTCACTTAGGGTGTGTTTGACACTCATTTTTTGGGAAATAGAAATTTTGGAATAGTGATTCATAGGAGAATGTATGGTGGAAAAGTTATGAAAAGTTTTAGCCCCTGTTTGAGCCCCATTCTTTCTCATTTTTTCCCTTTCATTTTTCTATAGTACTCATTTCCAACCACACATTCTCCAAATAAAATAATATCATACACAAATCTAAAATTTTTCATCACTATTCCGCCACACATTTTCTCATCAATCACTATTCAAAAACTCATTATTCCTGAAAAATAGGGGCCAATCACCCACTTAGATTTGTGTGTAATATTATTTTATTGGAAAAATGTGTGGCTGAATTGAAGAAAGGAAAAAAATGAGAATGAGTGCCAAACAGGGGTTTAATGTATAAGTTTGCTTATAAATAGAAGCTTTTTGATATAACGAAAATTTCTATCTAAATAGGCATTAAGCCCTCGTTTGATGTCCATTATTTTTTTCAAAAAAAAGGATGTTCTGAATAGCGATTTTTTGAAAATGTGTGACTTAGGGTTTGTTTGTGAAAGTTTTTTAAAAATCATTTTCAACTATGCATTATAGAACCGTACTTTGGAGTTGGCAAAATCTGACAGAACACGTCAAAATCGCCCAAACCGAACCAACCTGGCCAGTTTGGATCGATTTTTTTGTTGTTTTTATACGGGGTTGGATGGGTTGGTTGTGTAGATGGTTTGCGTCGAATTGAGTTATGAGTTAATTCATGAAAATCGAATAAATCCGCACAACTCAACCTACCTACTTTAAAAAATAATAATAAATAAATAAAATGCCTAAAAAGTAAAAGGAACCTAAAAATTATGAGTAGATGGTGTAACTGTAACTACGTCGGTGCATTTTAGAGGATGAACTTATTGTCATTCCCATAAGAAATGTAGTATAAGTTTTCTATGTTATATTAAATGCACTTTGTTCTTTGTATGTTCGGCTAATGAGTATTGAATAAGATACTAGATAATTTTATTTATTTACTTACTATTTAATCTTGTTTATTCGAATTTAGTATAATAGAAAATTGGATGACTTTAATTTTTGTTGTCAAATCGTTCTAAACCAACCAATCCAACCCAACCCGACAAATACTTGATTGGGTTGGGTTAAATTTTGATCAAATCGATCATGTTGTGTTGTGTTTAGGTTGAGGTAAAAATCGATCCAACTCAACTCATGTCCACCCCTAACCGTACTTATACTGGACTCGATTAAAAATCCAATCTCAAGGTCAACTCAAACATGCTTAGAAGGTTTTCTAATTGAATTCTTCGATGCGAATTAGAAGTCACTGTTTAATTCCGCAATCAAATCGGAATAGCTCAAACAGTTAAATAACTAAATTACGCTAAACGTTACAACAATCGTACTCCTCGTAACAATGTGACCATGCATTCCTACTCTATCTACCATGTATACATCACTGCAAATCGTTTGTCATACACTAATGCGTGATCAAACACTTTTCAAGCGTCACAATTAAAGTTTCTTTCATTTATCTACAACAATTAAACGCTTGATTGACATTTAGGTCATCTCCAACCTTGCACTATTGTACCATAATTCACCAAATTGCGTAAAATATTTGGTACAAATCTCCTCCAATCTATTGCACAATTTTGGTGCAAATGAATAGTATTGCACTCAATTTTGCACTAAAATGGTCAAATATCATTTTGCCACTCTCTTTCACGCTGTAAAACAATTGGTTAAGGGTATTTGTGTCCATTTTCATTATACATTTTTGTAATACAATAAAATATTATTCATATTATTAGCATTTTAAAGAAATTAATAATTTTAATAATAATAATTATTATTAATTTAACATAATTATTTATTTAATAATTTATGTAGTTGTAAAATAAATAAATATTTTTTCAAATAAATAAATTGTTAAGAATAAAAAAATGAAGAAAATGATTAAAAACTATTCATTTGGTGTCATGGGTTAGACATGCTTTTCAATTTGGCGTAAGATTTGAAGTAAAATAGTGCAAAATTTATCTCAAATGTGAACCGTTGATGTCAAAGGCAATATCACATCAAAAGCTTAATCGCCCCTTAATTAATTCCACACGCTAACTTATCCAATTAACATTATCTATGGCGTCCAAAGTTATCAAGTTAGTTGTACAATATAAGTTGTGTCTTGAAAAGATCATTGTCATTAATTTGAAAAATAATTTTTCAAATAAATGAATATGCTGTCTGCCAACTTATGTATTTATATAATGATACATGACACTCTATCATTTGCAAATTTAAAACACAATCAATGTTTTTATCCAATTTTTTTTCTCCACATCCTATTATATAATTCATTATGTAATTTTTTTCGAATTAATCTACTTATACATAGTGTGTACATAAGCGTGTACATAATGTGAGTGTGGTGGAGCCAACGACACTGTAGCGTATGCCCCACCTCTACTCATATTATGCACACGCTTATGTACATGTCCATGTACCAATAGCATTGCTCATTTTTTAATGTACAAGTAACAAAATTCTCGTGAATTAAACTAGTCAAATAGGCTCAATGACATGATTTATTTAAACGCGATGAGTTGATAGTTTTTTATTGACGACCTTTTATTTTACATTTTTTTAACTTAGTGAAATTTTGTCAAGTGTACGTGTGAAAAAGCCTGTCAATGAGCTAGTTCATGGAGCAGCTTGAATCCTTATTAAAACGTGGACCCCATTCTGGTTTGGTACCATTGGACCGTACACCTCATAGTCCCAGTCCAAATGATCCACAGACTTCGTGTCTTGCAGTCACCTTCTCTGCTTATAAATTACACGCACTTCACACACCAAATGTACCGAATTCCACTCTTTCTTCTTCAGTTTCTTTCTCAATTTTGTATTAAAAATCTGCACCCTTTTGGCTCTGTATTTGTATGGCAGCTCGCTTGTTGTCTTTTGAGGTGGCTGATCTCTGCTTAGGCAAGCCGCCGCTCCGTGCCCTTTCTGTCTCTGCTACAGTCTGTGATGCCCTGGTGGCGCTAAAGGCGGCGGAGGATAATTCCGTCAGTGTGTGGAATTGTGATCACTCTAAGAGGAATTTGAACGGCGGCGATGAAAATTGTGTGTGTGTAGGAAAGATTTGCATGGTTGATATAATTTTTTATCTTTGCAAAGGAGAGAATTTATCTTCTCCGGCTTTGGCCTTGAAGTCCCCTGTTTCAGTTTTGCTGTCAAACGTTGAGGGTCTTGTGAGGCACGTGGAAGCCTCTTCAAGGTAATTGGATAATAACAACTCTCTCTCTCGAGATCTATGCTGGAATATTTTGTTCTTTCATTAATAGGAATTTTGTCATTTTCTTGAATTGGACGGGTCTCAATCTTGGATTTATTATTTCAGTGCATTGCTTAAAGTCTTAGCTGAATCAATTTAATCTTGAAACTTGAATGAAACAGGGAAAGTTTAAGAAATGATAAAGATCCATGACTGACATGTTAAAATTCACAATCCTCGTGTGATCTACTTTATTCCATGTAAATTCAGATTATATTGATATTTCTTGGTGTTGGGATCATCAATTTCTCCAAATTCATGGAAAAATTTACTAAATTTTATCATAGAGTTTGTTTTTGTATATTTTAATCAAATTCTGTTTTGCTATTTTTCTTCCAGCTTACTTGTAGCCATTGATCTGATTCTCCAAGGTGCCCAGAACCTCGTGGTTCCTATAAAGAGCAACAACTCAGGCAATTCAAAGAGAAAACAGCTCCTAAAATCATCATCTATGAGTCCAACAGTTCACAATGGCCTCGAATTCTGTTGGCTAACACAAGAAGATATAATGAGATTCCTTCTTAGCTCAATTGGCCTTTTCTCCCCAATACCGACTTTCTCCATTGAATCCCTTGGCATAATCTGCCCTGAGTTTTTGGCTGTTGGTTACCACTCCCTGGCTTCATCGGCAATTGGAGCTATCTCCCAATCCCTAGTGGATCAAACTTCGGTGGCGGTTGTTGATGATGATGGAACTTTGATTGGTGAGATCTCACCCTTTGCCCTCAACTGCTGTGACGAGACTGTGGCAGCTGCCATTACAACACTCTCAGCCGGGGACCTAATGGCCTACATTGACTGTGGAGGCCCCCCTGAGGAAATTGTGAGGGTGGTTGAGGCGAGGTTGAAGGAGAGAAATCTTGAGGGAATGCTAGAGGACTTCGTGATCGAGTCCTCCAACAGTAGTATTCTCTTCAGTTCGTCTTCTGACGAGGAATTGCCATCCCTGACTAGGACATCGTCGAGGTCAGGGCGATATAGTAGGTCTACAAGCTACTCAGCACGAATGGTGAGAAGGGCAGAGGCAATAGTGTGCCATCCCGGTAGTTCTTTGGTGGCAGTTATGATACAGGCAATCGCGCATAGGGTAAACTATATTTGGGTTATTGAAGGTGACTGCAGTGTAGTTGGAATTGTAACATTTGCTACCATGCTAGAAGTTTTCAGAGAAAAATTAGAATCCATGATCTGAAGAAAAGATCAGTTAGTTCCCAGTTAGTTGAGTGAAAGTTCTAACTTCTTTTCGTTGATAAAATAGGAAGGGAGGAACGCATTGTGATTATGAGCCTTTACTTTGTGTGGTTTTTTGTGAAATGTGGTTGAGGACTACTGATCCAGAGCCTGGATGGATGGTTTCTTTTGTAATTTAATTTCAAAATGGTAGGTTTTGTACTAAATTGTATGGTCATAATAAAAGTAACAAATCGTGCGGTGATAGACTGATATGTTTGTCCATCTTTCTCTCCTTCCTTTGCGTGACCCAATTTCTTTTCTCAAAATGTCATGACAATGGTTGGGCTTGTGTGTTGAGCCTCACATTTTTCTGCGTGAGCTAGCATGACACGGTCCGACGTACAAAATTCGAAAGTCTGACCTATTTGACACTTTTAGGCAGTGTTCTAAAATGCGTAATGCGTTGCGAAGAGTCGAGGTCGAAAATCAAGAATCACAAGATTAAGCGTGTCAATGCGGAGAATATGCGTCATAATGCGTTTCGTACTTTTAATGTTAAAAAAACAAATTTTTTATTTAAAAATAAACATACACATTACTATTAAGTATTAATTATACTGTTAATGGATTGGACACTAAGTAGAGGATTTTCTTGAGGTCTTGCACAATTAAATTCAAAAGATAACCAATTCTAAACTTTGATAATAGCATATTAAAATGCCTTCATAATATTGATAAGTTGATAACTAACAAAATAGGATAAAAGTTATCAAGTTATCATCATACAATATGATAACTAACAAAATATGATAAAAGTTAGAACACTTCTACATTAAGTCACATAGCCTGACTTTTGTCTAACTCTTTATCGGATTCTAACTCGATCTCTTCTTCTTCATC